CTCCCCCTCCCTCCCTCCCTCCCTCCCTCTCTGCCTCAGGCCCGTTTTTCGTACTAGTGAACAGGATCTTAATGAGAATTGCAGCACATCCTGGATACCGAGAAGACCAAATACGTTGAAATCCTCAGTTTTCGAGTTGGCCAGGTGCTTAGAATCAGTATGTTGGATATGAATAGAAATATTTAAGCCCATGGGGCTGGAGAGATGGCTCAGTGGTTAAGAGCATTGCCTGCTCTTCCAAAGGTCCTGAGTTCAATTCCCGACAACCACATGGTGGCTCACAACCATCCGTAATGAGGTCTGGTGCCCTCTTCTGGCCTGCAGACATACACACAGAATATTGTATACATAATAGATAAATAAATAAATAAATATTTTAAAAAAATATTTAAGCCCTTGTATTCATCTAGCATCATGGATAACACTGGGCTCCTCAACCCCCGCGTCTCCTATCCTGAGGTGTATAAAGAAGGGAAGAGTACCCCACTTATACAGAATTACTTGCCCATTACATGTGAATCCCCGAGTTTGATCACCAGTACTCACTCCGGTCCCCCACCACAAAAACAAACAAAAAAACGAGATTAGGAGCAATTTCATCGCTGCCCTTAGGCTTCTGTGAGATGCTACTTAATATGGTACCAGGCTAGCAGCTGCTATTTAGAAAGCTCACTGCAGGCTAGGCTAGCGTTCTGCATTGGGCCTTTTGACTTGGTTGTTTTGATTCGAGCAGGTCCCACCTTGTATGTAGCTCAGACTGTTCTGTAGCTGTTGTATGGGACAGGCTGACCTTGAACTCACAGTAATTATGATGGTTCTGACTTCAAGGCTCGAGTCAGCTTCACTTAGCAGTTTGGTTTTGTTTGTTATTGTTGAGATGGTCTCTCTGTGTAGTCTTTTTTTTAATTTATTTATTATGTATACAATATTCTGTCTGTGTGTATGCCTGCAGGCTGGAAGAGGGCACCAGACCTCTTTACAGATGGTTGTGAGCCACCATGTGGTTGCTGGGAATTGAACTCAGGACCTTTGGAAGAGCAGGCAATGCTCTTAATCACTGAGCCATCACTCCAGCCCCTCTCTGTGTAGTCTTGACTGGCCCAGAACTGCTGTGTAGACTAGGCTCGCCTTGAACTCGCTGAGATCTGCCACCCAAGTGCTGGGATAAAGGGTTTGTCCTATTGCACTCATCATTGATCCTTTATTTTTAGATTTTTTTTTAATATGTAGAAGTGTTTGTGGGCATGTGTATATGTACACCATGTATGTTCTTGGTACCCACTAAGGTCAAAATAGGGTATGGAATTGGAGTTATGGATGGTCCTCTATAAGAGCAACACATGCTTTTTTTTTTTTTTTTTTGGTTTTTCGAGACAGGGTTTCTCTGTAGCTTTTGTGCCCGTCCCGGAACTAGCTCTTGTAGACCAGGCTGGCCTCGAACTCCCAGAGATCCGCCTGCCTCTGCCTCCCGAGTGCTGGGATTAAAGGCGTGCACCACCATCGCCTGGCTGCAACACATGCTCTTGACTGCAGAGCCTTGTCCCTCCCTCTACCATTAAAAATATTTAAAAGTTGAGAGCTGGAGAGATGGCTCAGCAGTTAACAGCACTGGCTGCTTTTCCAGAGGTCCTGAGTTCAATTCTCAGCAACCATATGGTGGCTCATGACCATCTAAGGTGGCACCTTTTCAGACACAAAGGCTTATGTGCAGATAGAGCACTCATATATATAAAATAAATCTTTAAAAAAAATTAAAAGTCAGGGTTTTTCTATGTAGCCCAGCCCCAAGTCTCACTTAGTCTTTTTGTTCTTACTTGCCAAGTGTTAGCATTACAGATGTGCACAGTCACATCTGGCTCCTTTTACCATTTTTTCAAATTGGATTTATTAATTTTTTCTTTTTTTTAAGATTTATTTATTTATTATATATGCTGTATTCTGCTTCATGTATGCCTGCAGGCCAGAAGAGGGCACCAGATCTCATTACAGAAGATTGTGAGCCACCATGTGGTTGCTGGGAATTGAACTCAGGACCTTCAGAAGAACAGGCAGTGCTCCTAACCTCTGAGCCATTGCTGCAGCCCGATTTATTAATTTTTTTAAATGTGTGTTTTGCCTACATGTATGTATATGCATTTCCTTGCATGCCTGATGCCTAGAGAAGCCAGATGAGGGCATTGGATCCCCTGGAACTGGCGTTCTGGGTGGTGTGAAACACCATGAAGGTGCTGGGAATCAAATGCAGGTTCTCCTGAAAAGGAGCAAGTGCTCTTAAGTGCTGAGCCTTCTCTTTAGCTCCCCTCCCCCTTCTACCACAGTCTCCCAAGGAGCTGGAATGCCTGGCTTAAAGCACTTACTTTTTATCAGTTAATTTGATCATCTGTTAATTTAGTCTACTGCCCAAGTTGGGAGTCTAGGAGTCTTGGGGTCCTTAAGTCTTAGAGGAAAAGCCATTCTTAGGGAGGAGTGGGTTGTTGACAGTCTGTTGACAGAGGTTTCTGTTCCACTTGGTCCCACAGCCATTCAGTCCCCCCAAAAAAAACCACACAGAGGCCTACATTAATTATAAACTGATTGCCTTATTAGCTCAGGCTTATTAACTTACTCTTACATCTTAAATTAACCCATAATTCTTGTCTGTGTTAGCCACATGGCTTGGTACCTTTTACCAAGAGGTACCATCTTGCTTCCTCTGCATCTGGGTGATGACTGCAGACTCAGCCTTCCTTCTTCACAGAATTCTCCTGTTCTGGTTGTCCTGCCTATACTTCCTGCCTGGCTACTGGCCAGTCAGTGTTTTCGTATACCAGCACAGTGACATGTCTTTACAGGGCACAGGACCATTGTCCCACAGCAGCGAGTCTTTCCTGTGTGAGGTTAGAAGACAGAACATGGTTTCAAGCCAATAAAATGGCCTTATTAGCTGGCTGGCGACTGCATTGGGTATTGGGGGATCCCAGTGTATCCGCAAGCATTTCTCAAGGGGAGGTTTTAGGCACAAAAAACACACCCTGGGTTGACACACAGCCAAAAGCAGAACTATAAAACCAAAAAGCAAGGTTATAATACATGTAGAGACTTTCCCAGAACCGCAGACTTTGATGGATTGGGTTTTTGTTTTCATTGGTGGTGCTGTCTATGTGGTGAGTTTTTTTTTTTTTTTAATATTTATTTATTATGTATACAATAGTCTGTCTACATGTATGCCTTCAGGCCACAAGAGGGCACCAGACCTCATTACAGATGATTGTGAGCCACCATGTGGTTGTCGGGAATTGAACTCAGGACCTTTGGAAGAGCAGGTAGTGCTCTTAACCACTGAGCCATCTCTCCAGCCCTATGTGGTGAGTTTTATGGCCTGAATGGAGTCAGTTGTGTGAAAGTCTGGGGCCTGTTACATGGGCACACTAAGCTGTTTTTATCCTTGCTAAGGCTCTCTTTACTGCCTTGTGACTGCATACCTTCGGGCTCTGCCCTTTTCTTTCATTACCTACTTCCCCGGTCCTGTTGCTCATGCATTCACTAAATAACTGTCTTAAGTATCTCAAGTGCCAAGTTCTCCTGAGACAGCAATGCAAGGAGCTAGATAGTGTGGCTCCTGGACTCAGGGAATTTTTTTTTTTTTTGAAACATAGTTTTTCTGTTGCCCTGCCTGACTGTCCTGGAAGTTGCTCTGTAGACCAGGCTGGCCTCGAACTCAGAGATCCGCCTGCCTCTGCCTTCCAGGTGCTGAGATTTAAAGACATGCGCCACTATTGTCTGACTGCCTCAAGTGAATTTTTTACTTCGAAGTCAGTCGGTGGGGTTGAATGCTGATACTGCCCCCATAGTAGCTTTATCACTGCAGATAATACATAACCCCATTGTTTTCTCATTTGTAAAGACAACTTGTGAGAAGAGATGAAGTCCACTGTGCAAGAGAGTCAATGTATGCTTTAATAACATTCCTGGGTTGTGAATGGTGGTACTAGGGAAGCAGATGAATTTGAGAGTTCAAGGCCAGCTTGGTCTACATAGTGGATTCTAGGTCAGCCAGAGCTACATAGTGAGACCCTGCCTCAAAAAACAAACAAGGGGCTGGAGAGATGGCCCAGTGGTTAGAACATTGACTGCTCTTCCAGAGGACCTGGGTTTATTTCCCGGCACACATATGGTGTCTCACAACTGTTTGTAACTCCAGTTCCACGGGACCCAACATCATCACCTAGCTATACATGCATGCAAAACACCAATGCTCATAAAACAGAAATAGATTAAAAACAAACAAAAGTTCCTTCCTTAGTTCAACTTTTTATTCTGTTTCTCTTGACTCATAGTTGATGAAGAAACTTTTTGAGTCTTTCACTGGTGAGATTTCTTACATCTGACCATGCGACTTTCGGCCCTGCTGGCCTTGGCATCCAAAGCCACCCTCCCTCCCCACTACCGCTATGGGATGAGCCGTCCAGGCTCCCTCTCAGACAAGAGGAAGAATCCTCCATGGAGCAGGCGGCGCCCAGTGGTGGTAGAGCCCATCTCTGATGAAGACTGGCACCTATTCTGTGGAGACATGGTGAGAACATCAAGACAGAGTGATGGGAAGGCTTGTGGGCAACAATCTCCTGCCTCTGTCCTCTCATCATCTTACAGGTGGAAATCTTAGAAGGCAAAGATGCTGGGAAGCAGGGCAAAGTGGTGCAAGTCATTCGGCAGCGGAACTGGGTTGTCCTGGAGGGGTTGAACACGGTGAGTGAAAGGATGATGAGGGCTGGGAAGTCTTCCCCATCTGTCTCTCTTTTCTTAAGAGCAGCATGGGGCGACAGGAAACTGGCTGAGGGGTAGGCTGTACAAGCGGGCTTGGGCTGAATATGCTAAGTAGTAGTAGGTAAATCCCTTCACACACTTTACTTTCTGATAATGCCTTCTCCCGGACAGCATTACCGTTATGTTGGCAGAACCACGGATCACCGAGGGACCATGATCCCTAGTGAAGCCCCCTTGCTTCACCACCAGGTCAAGCTAGTGGACCCTGTGGACAGGCAAGCACACAGGCCTCTGGTCAAGGGGTTTCTAACTCGAGTTATTTATCACATGGGAATGGTTTGTTAGATATGCTGGAACTCAGGGGAATCCATTTCTTTTTTTGGGCGAGGGGAGGGGTTTGAGACAGGGTTTCTCTGTGTACTCCTGGCTGTCCTGGCTACAATGCTGGCTTGGAACTCAGAGATCTGCCTGCCTCTGCCTCCTGAGTGCTGGGATCGAAAGTGCACCACCACTGCCCAGTGGGTCTGTTTCTTGCACACAATTGTCAGTAACCATGACAGAAACAAAAGTGGTAACCCAAGTTACCATTGCCTTCAATTTTGGGTTGGAGAGTGGCACAAGGATCTGGCTCTAGACTCATTTTTTTCTCTTTACCAGGAAACCCACTGAGATCCAGTGGAGATTTACTGAGGCAGGAGAGCGGGTTCGAGTCTCTACAAGATCTGGGAGAATTATCCCCAAACCTGAATTTCCTCGAGCAGACGGCATTGTCCCTGAAACATGGACTGGTAAGCTGGGGTGGGCAGGAAGAAGGCAGGGATGTGAGGTGTGAGAGGAAAAGCAAAGTTGGTAGGGCTAGGGATATAGCGTGGTGGAGCACTCGCCTAGCTGTGTGCAAGGTCATGGCCTCCATCCCCACACTGCAAGAAATAAACAGTCAGCAAATTATCCTTTCTTCTGACTCAACAGATGGCCCCAAGGACACATCAGTGGAAGACGCTTTAGAAAGAACGTATGTGCCCCGGCTAAAGACATTAGAAGAAGATGTGATGGAGGCTATGGGGATCCAAGAGACTCGAAGACACAAGAAGGTTTATTGGTACTGAGACTGAGCTGCTGCCTGCTCTGTCTTCACCTTGAGAGGGGAGGCCCCTCTTCTCCAGCGATAATAGCTAATAAAGAGCCATGAGTGTAGCTGCTGCCCCGCCTCTCTTCCTTTCTTCAAGTGTTTGTATTTTGTGGAGGCCACGCATAGTGCAGCTTTTCCTCTTGTTGGGACAGACCAGGTAGATGGCAGCCTTTCCAGGGGCAGGTCCTACAATGTTTGGGGATAGAAACAAGGAAGAGGCCCCTGTCCTTTTCCCTATTTATAGAAACAGGAGTTTTTTTGTTTGTTTGAGTGATGGAGGTGGGTCTTGTATCTTATCTGTTGCTTTCATTGGTTAATAATAAAGAAACTGCCTCGGCCCTCATAGGACAGAAAATTAGGTAGGTGGAGTAAACAGAAGAGAATGCTGGGAAAAAGAAGCTGAATCAGGGAGTCGCCATGATTCTCCCACTCCAGACAGACGCAGGTTAAGATCCTCCCTGGTAAGCCACCTCGTGGGCTACACAGAATATTAGAAATGGGTTAGAACAATATGTAAGAGCTAGCCAATAAGAGGCTACAGATAACGGGCCAGGCAGTGTTAAAAAAAATACAGTTTCCGTGTAATTATTTCGGGGCATAACCTAGCCATGCGGGCGGCTGGGTGCCGGGGACGCAGCCCTGCTGCCGCTCCTATTTCAACATTTGAGACAGGGTTTCTCTGTAGCTTTCAGAATTCACTCTATAATCCAGGCTGGCCTCGAAGTCAGAGATCTGCCTGCCTCTGCCTCCCAGGTGCTGGGGTTAAAGGCATGGCTACTACTGCACAGCAGGAGTTAAATCTGAAAAGTTTTAATAAATAAAAATGACACAGAACATTACATATGAAAGGAAAGGGTATAAATCCGAAGTTTCAGAGGGCCAGAATTCCGGCAGGATGCAGGCACTCTAACTGGGAAGACGCACTGGCCATACTGTCACTTTGTGGCTTTGGTCTGTCAGCTGTCTTCAGTCTCAAGAACAGAGAAGGCCTGACCCAGGGGTGTCTTGGTGGCCACCAGAACCAGATTTCTGGGAGAGAGTTCAGGGCTGAAGATGGGTAACAGCTCAGCATAGAAGCCTAGGACAAAGTGTTGGTTAGAAGGGAAATAGAAGTTCACCCCAGACCCTTTCTGCCTGTCCAATAGCACAGCATCTTATTCCAAAGGGGGAGACACTAGCTTGAGAGCAGTCCATGGACTTTCAATCTCCCTCCCTGGTGCTGGACAGGGCTCAGGGTTAAGAACTTGCTGCTCTTCCAGTATACTCAAGTTTGGTTCCTAATACCCACATTGGGTGGCTCCCAACTGCTTGCAACTCCAGTACCAGGAAATTAAACACCCAAAAAAAACATGTATAAACACACAAATCTTAAAACCCAAACCAGTCTAGTGGGAGGCACTGCTAGGAACCCACAATTGCTAACAAATGCCCCCCACATCAGGTGGTGTCCAGGCCCAACAAATTGGACAAGAACTCACCTTGCTCCTGGAGATAGAGCAGCCGGTCTAGCAGAATCAGCGTCTCCACTAGTGGGGCCAGCAGGAGGGCCAAGCTGAAGAAGGCCACCACACGATTCTCTTGGGCCTTCTGGGCCCAAAGGGCAGCCAGATCCAGTGGCAGCTGGGGGTCTAGACCTACTCGTTGTAAACCTTGTTGCACGTATCTGTGAGACCAGCCATAAGACAAGTTAGTTCTAGAAACTTCCACCTGCCACTTAACCGTTTTGTCTAGAAGCTGGTTCCTACTTTAATTTGCTTAGACATTTTGTTTTTATTTTTGTTTTTTCCAGACATGGTTATTCTATAGTCTTGACTGTCTGGGAACTCACTCTGAAGACCAGGCTGGCCTTGAATTTAAGAGGTCCGCCTGCCTCTGCTTCCCAAGTGCTTGAATTAAAGGTATGAGGCACTATGCCTATGTTTTTGAGACAAAGTAGCCTAGACTACATGGAAGCAGTCCTCCTTGGCTCCAGAGCCAGAAAGCTGTCACAGACACGTGCCACTACCCATTCTAATGTCCCTAGGCTGTGAGCTATCTGTTCAATAGCAAACAGTCCCAAAATTTATCTTCATTTAGTTTTATACAACTTAGCCGTACTTTTAGTAATTAGAGACTATTGGACTGATAGTTATCTTAGTGGTAGACCTACTTGCTAATCTAGCACGTACAAAGCCCTAGATTTGATGATTTCCAGAGTTAAAAAAAAAATGGAACTTGGGCAATGGGCAGTGGTGGTACACACCTTTAATTCCAGCACTCCAGAGGAAGAGGCAGGCGGATCTCTGAGTTAATGGGGGGGGGGGGGATGTCTACAGAACTAGTTTCCAGGACAGCCAAGCCAGTTAGTTACACAGTGAAACCCTGGCTCAAAAAACAAACAAAAGAACTTGGGATAATCTTGAACTCTCAATTCTCCCGCCATCTCCCCAAGATAAGGTTGCAGATGTGTGTTCATCACCTTCAATTTATACGGTGCTGGGAACTGAACCTAGGCTCATGGACACAGAGATTAAGTATTCTACCAACTGAGTTACATTCCTAGTCCTAGGAGGACAAATTCTTTCAGAGAAATTTGGAGCAGTGTCCCTGGTTAGCGAAGTTTATGCCATTTCTTTGGGCTCACACATTTTCTTTGGCTGTGTTAAAGGCAGGAATATGTGGGGGCTGGAGAGATGGCTCAGTGGTTAAGAGCACCGCCTGCTCTTCCAAAGGTCCTGAGTTCAATTCCCAGCAACCACATGGTGGCTCATAACCATCTGTAATGAGATCTGGTGCCCTCTTCTGGCCTGCAGGCAGAGCACTGAGAATACTGTATACATAATAAATAAATAAATCTTAAAAAAAAAAAAAGGTGGGAATATGTGGGGAGCCTCCCCAGACCTCACTCTTCAATCTTGAGTTCGTGGACCCTAGGGATTCCTTGCACGCCAGGCCTCCGAAGTTCAGGGCAGGCACGTCGGATGACTGTCTCCAGCGCTGCACGGAAGCAGTGTGTTTGCAGGCCAGGGCCTGCTTTCTGTAGCCTCTTTGCATAGTCCTCAAGAGCGTGGCAGGCCCCCTCCCGGAGCCTGTAAGGTAGTTCATGGCCGGGCAGCCCAGCCACCCACTGACTCAGTGGGTAGCTGCCTGGCTCACTGAGTTTCATGTAGCAGCAGCCCACTGAGGCCAAGGCTACCACTTCAGAACAGCAGCAGAAGTGTTTCAGCAAGGAAACACTCAGATCCCCACAAGCATGGAGGCCCGTGAGTAGTAGGCGAGTACTACCCTGGCATGGTGTCTCCAAAGGCAGCAGAAGCTCGTCACACAGGGCTGTGGGGCTGACCCACTGAACCACGTGGTGGGGGGAGTGGCGGGAGCCTCTTTGTACCACCTGTGGGGAGAGCAAAAACAAAGGCAGATGCAAAGCTGGGTGGCATCCTCGGAGTTATGAGTCAGAAGCCAGGCATTAGAGAACCCGACTCTGAACCAGGAGATGAGACCATCATTTCAGACAGTACACCTTTTCATTTCTTTTGTTTGTTTTTCGAGACAGGGTTTCTCTGAAGCTTTTGGAGCCTGTCCTGAACTCTTGTGGACCAGGCTGGCCTCGAGATCTGCCTGCCTCTCTGCCCCCGAGTGCTGGGATTACAGGTGTGTGCCCGGTTCATATTTTCATTTCTATCATTTTTCTTTCAGGTGGGGTAGGGGGAGACACAAGGTCTTTGCAGCCTTTTCTGACCTAAAGTTCAGTATGTTGAACAAGCCAGCAAATCTGCATGGATCCTGTCCATGTTTCCCTAGTGCTGGGATTACAGGCATGTACCTGAGGATGGAACCCAGGGCCTAATGAATGCTTAGGCAACTGTCCTACAACTGAGCTGTATCCTAGCTCTATCATTTCATTTCTTTTTTAAAAAGATTTATTTATTTATTTATTTATTGTATATAGTGTTCTGCATGAATGCATGCCTGTAAGCCAGAAGAGGGCACCAGATTTCATTACAGATGGTTGTGAGTCAACATGTGGTTGAACTCAGGACCTTTAAGAAGAGCAGGCAGTGCTCTTAACCACTGAGCCATCTGATGTGGGAGTGTCATATATCAATCTGTTGATTTCATTGGTTAAGCAATAAAGAAACTGCTTGGCCCTGATAGGTTAAAACATAGGTGGGAGGAGTAAACAGAACATAATGCTGGGAGGAAGAGGAAGTGAGCTCAGAGACGCCATGCTCCCCTCTCCAGGAGAGACGCCATAGCTCTGCTCTCTGAGGAAGACGCATGAAGCACAGACCCAGGATGGACGTAGGCTAGAATCTTCCTGGTAAGCGCACCTTGGGGTGCTATGCACATATTATTAGAAATGGGCTAGTCCAGGTGCGAGAGTTAGCCAAGAAGAGGCTAGATATAATGGGCCAAGCAGTGTTTAAATGAATACAATTTGTGTGTTGTCATTTCGGGGCATAAACTAGCCAGGCGGCTGGGGTGCTGGGGGCGCAGCCCCGCTGTTCGTATTACAACAGCCATCTCTCCAGCCCAAGCCCTTTCATTTCTTGTTGATAATGAGTCTAATACCTGGGTGTGGGTTAGGGATATAGCTCAGTAGCTATGGGCTCCATCCCTAGTACAGCAAATAATAGTACCCATCTGGCCACATCATAGTTTACTATGAGAACATAGTGGTGTGGAAATCAATTATACAAACTAAAAATGCCTTTGAGATGTGGGGATGTTTTGGGGAAGGGGCAAAATGTAGCAGAAATAAATGGGAACCATTTCTAACCGAGAAACTTGGAAGTAGAAAATGAATTTTAATATGCAGTTCCAGCCAAGCACACTGCTCCTGTAGTGCAGGCTGCAAGAAGGGCAGCTTACTTTTGGGTGCCTCTTCTCCATTTTGTCTAGAGCCTGCAGGAGCTCCTGGTCGAGGCGCTGGGCTCTCTCTACCAGCCTCTGATTTCCTTCAAGGCTCTTCACCATCAGCCCCAGGCCGAGAGACATGAAACGGGAGAGATGGCCCTGGAGTCATGAGGGAAGACAGCATTGTTCAGTGCCCTCAAGACTGTCACCCCACCAGTGGTGTAGACAACTGGGTCCTGGGCTCCTCTAAAGTCTCACTCTCCCACCCCCACTTCTCAGCACCTGCTTCCGTGGGCATTTGGCCTGCTAATCTGCCTTCCCCAGTAGCCTATTCTCATAACTCAAATAGACAATATGTTGAGAGTCTGGCTTACCTGGCCTGAGCCCACATCCACAACCTGGGTACAGCCAGTGAGATCACTCAGCTTCTTCACCAACTGAAAGGAGACAAAAGTCTCTTCTTGGCATTGGCTCCTGACTCCTGAAGTCATAAGGATGGTAGAGAAGCCAAGGTGACAGAGAAGCACTGAGGTTGCCACAGAGATACCAGATGTCAAACCAGAGCTGAGGTGATGGTGTCTAGCCTAGTCCGCTTGCCCCTTAAGTCAATGCAGGAGAAAGAACCCTGTAGGTTGTGAAACTGAAAACTGACCGCAGTGAATAGAAGTAGTCACCCCACACAGCTGCCGGTCAACTCCAGAAACACACGGGAAAGTATCCCAGCACCAAGATAGGATGCTAGTATGTCTGCTAAGGAAGGGGCTTCTGCACTTGCTCGTTCCTACAGTATGGGCTACACAGGGCTCTCAGACTGTCTCACCTCTCCCAGCCTCCGGATCTCATGCTGCTTTTTGGGCTTGACATGTTTCCGAAAAGGCGCTGCTAGTCGGGAGCTTTGGCTGGGGTTCTCCAGGAACTCTGAGGGGGTCTGAAAGCCAGGTGTCCGGGTAAAGGCGAGGGCACAGGCTGTGGACTTCAGGGCCAGCAGGGTCAGTGGCCACACGGACCTGTACCTGAGACAGTCCAGCCCAGGCTGCCAGTGAATAGCCCACAATCGCATGCTGAGTGTCTAAGCCCAGGAAGATGCAATGAGACTGTCTACCTAAGGTTCAGTACATGGCTCCGGGCTCATTCCCCAGCAAAGGGCTCCTCTGTTTGTACATACCTAATCTCCTCCCCTTCCCTGGGCATCCCCAGCAGCAGGGTGGCCAGCTGTGGTGGCTTTAGTCCATCCAGTGCTTCTTGCCATGAGCTGGGGAGTGTGCCCCACAGGCTGTCGGTGAAAAATTCCTGCAGAAGGAGCCAAACAGCCATTTTCTCAGCCCCATCTTAACTCTCCACCTCATCTCCTGCTTTCTTCTGGCACCAGTGCCCAAGACCACCAAATGCCACCAGCAGGTCTCTCCTGTTCAAGTGTATCAGCTCAAGTCTGCTCCCAGCCTCCACCAGTGCCAAGGTGGCACAGACATGCTTTGTGAACACACTTCATTTTATTAATGTCCCCCTTCTCCAATTTCTTTTTCAAGGTTAGCCTGGTCTATATAGTGTTCCAGGATAGCCAAACTTCATCTAGAAAAATAAATTTTGAGGTTTTATTTATTCACCAAAATCTATTCTAAACTCAGAGAGACAAGAGTCTTGTACGTGTAGAGTTTACTTTGCAAAATAAAATTCAGTAACAGAGGTTTAACTCAATGTTAAGAATGCTTGATGAGCCAGGCCGTGGTGGCACTTGCCTTTAATCCCAGCACTCAGGAGGCAGAGGCAGGTGGGTCTCTGTGAGTTCAAGGCCAGCCTGGTCCACAGAGCAACTTCCAGGACTGCCTGGGCTACAGCAAACAAACAACAAAAAACGAGTGCTTGATGAGCATGCAGGAGATCTTGGGTTCCATCCCCAGCACTGTAAATAATGATCAGCTAACATAAACACTACATGTGATAAAATGCTCATGAAAACCATTTAACAGAGAGCTTAAAAGGACAACTACTTTAAACTCCACAGAGAAAAAAAAAATGTGTGAGGGACACTCCAGAGTCGCCACACAGAGAAAATGTGTGAGGGACACTCCAGAGTCGCCACACAGAGAAAATGTGTGAGGGACACTCCAGAGTTGTCACAGAGAAAATGTGTGAGGACACTCCAGAGTTGTCACAGAGAAAATGTGTGAGGACACTCCAGAGTTGTCACAGAGAAAATGTGTGAGGGACACTCCAGAGTTATCACATAGAGAAAACACAAGCAAAAGTAAACACTCATATTTGCACTATTCTGAAAACACTTAAACAAGCATTTATTTACTTTTTTAGTTTGGAGGATCTTTTTTGCTGTTGTTTTTGAGACATGTCTCACTATGCAGCTTTCACTAGCTTGGGACTCAAGAGACTGCCCGCCTCTGCAATCCAAGCGCTGCAATTACAGTGGTGCAACCACAACACCCTCCAGTTAAAAAAAATGTTGGCAGTACTTAGGGATTTAACCCAGGGTTTCATACAAGCTAGACAAAATTTTTACAAAGTACTTTCACTATTAACTTGTATGTGTGTCCTCTGTGGACGGGTCTGTGCATGGGAATGCTGCTGCCCGCAGCACATCAATCCCTGCACGTGGAGTTAAAGATGGCTGTGAGCACTGGCTGCAGAACTGGCTTGGAAAAAGCACTACATGACTTATTTTTTTCCCTTTGGTTTTTCAAGACAGGGTTTCTCTGTGTTGTCCTGGTAGTCCTGGAACTCATTGTGTACACCAGGCTGGCCTCAAACTCACAGAGATCCACCTGCCTCTGCCTTCCGAGTGCTGGGATTAAAGGCGTGCGCCACCACCGCCCCGCCTGAGGTAGGATAACAGGCAGGCACCATTACCCATGCCTGACCTGCTTTTTCATTTTTAAAGTAATGTAGTCCAGTCCAGGCTAGTCTGAGGTGCTGGGATTACAGGTCTGCACCACAGCTGGCCAAGCACTTCCTCTTTACCAATATGCTCCTTATTACTGCCTTTTAGTGGAGAGATAAAAGCTGTCTCCAGAATTCTTCTACAGTAGCCTCTAACCATTCCACCCCCAGAAGCACCCCGCCCTCAGCCCAGTGGCCTCACGATGATGTAGGCGTCCAGGATGGAACGGTAGAGCGTTAGGACGCGGGTGAGGTTCACAGCCAGTTGCCTTCTCTTCTCATGCGAGAGGCCACGGACTGAGACGCCCGGCATCTTGCGGCCAGACTGGCGGTGCAAGGAGGGGAAGGAGGTGTAGCAATCCAAGGTCGCTACCACGAGGGTGTGAGACCCGAGCTGGGCTCAACTCTGTTGGCCCAACGCGAAGCAAGCTCTCCGAGCTCGCCCGACAACACCTATTTCCGCAGTCTCATCCAGAATGAAATGACCGGGCGCACTCGTCAAATGTCACAGCTTCCGCTGAGGAAAGCCATGACCGTCGGAGACGCAAGAGGTCTTGGTGACGTCACAGATGCGCGCCCAGTAATCGCTCAACGCCGGGCGGCCAGCTGCAGGTCCCGCCTTCCCTCCCGGAAGTGGGGCCACGGTTCCGGCGCGCGCTGCTCCGCTTCCGGCGGCCCACCACCTTGGAGTTGTACCTCCACGGCGCCCGAGGGGCCGGGGAGCGCATCCCGCCCCCGCCCCCACCCACGCCACCGCCGCCGCCGCCGCCGCTGCCGCTGCTCACGCACTCCGAGTCTCTGGCCTCGCTGCCTGAGGCGGGGGCACTGCGGGCGCGTGTGCGCCGGCCGCCTTCGCGCTGCCACCCGCGCTCCTGCCGTCCCGGTGTACGTCGGCGCGCACCTGCGTCCGCATCCGGCTCCGGACGCTTGCGATCTTAGTGCGACCCAACTTGGAGGTAGGTGGATGGGGTGTTCGGGGGATGGCCTGCGCCTCGTGGACCGTCAGAGTGTGCCGGACTTGTTGAGTTTCCTCCACTCAGATCCTCTGGCGCTGTCCGGAGTCCCAGGTCCTTGCTAGGCGGGGAGGGGGACAACGACGCCACAGGTGAGGTGTGTGAGAAGACTGCCCCCCCACACACACGTGGAGCCGAGGGAGAGCGGTGCCTGGATTTGCTCTTCATTTCTGGCGCCACGCTGAGGATGCCTGGGTAATCCTATGGACATCTGTGCTGTGTCCTCCCACCGCTAGCAAACGTTTAGTACTTAGTAGTACTTAGTACTACTTCTCTGCTGTTCTCACAACACTTTTGTTTTGACTTAATAGACTTGGCAGAGTTAGAACTCCGTGGTCTCCACAACTCCTTTTTACCCCAGCTTCAGCCTTTTGACGTATTTGTGCGAGTACTTTGCCTGCCCTGCATGTATATATGTGTGCACAATGTAAGTGCCTGAGGCCTACACAGATCAGAAGGCGTCCGATCCCCCTGAAACGAGTTACATATGTGAGCTGCCACATGCGTGCTGGGAACTGAACCCTGGGCCTCTGCAAGAGCAACAAGTGCTCTTAATTAAGACATCTCTCCAGCCTCTGTATCATCTTTTAAGAAGACACTGAATCTGGAGAGTGGAAACATCCTTTATAAGATTCACCCAAAGGTGAATTCTAAGACTTAGTGCCCAGGCTTTGGGCTTGTAGCCTTCTAGAATTGGTCTTACTTTACCCCGCCCCCAGGCCGATGGTGCAGGTATCAGGATTACTTTTGTCCCCAGGGCTAATTGCAGACCTCCACTTGTTGGACCATGGGATTCCACAGAGAATGAGCCTCCCAATCTTCTTTCATCAGTAAGCCGCTCTTCCCAGCTGCTCTCCTACCATCCGCTGCCCTCATGTCTACCATACTCCTGAATTTGGACTTTGGGGAACCTCCAAAAAAGGCGTTTGGAGGAAATGCCAAGCACCAACGTTTTGTTAAGAAGCGACGGTTCTTGGAACAGAGAGGATTTCTGAAGAGAAATAACCAACTTCCTAGCAAGGTGTCTAAATTGCACTCAGAACCTCTAAAGAAAAGGGAAGCGTCTTCAAAAGTAGATGGCATTTTGAAGATCCTTCCATGCCCAAAAAAGGAGGAAGCTGCCTCCAAAAGGGAGTCAGAGCAGTCCACAGACAAGAAAGCATCGTTGTCTTGGCTGACCCCTGCTCCTTCAAAGAACACTGATTCTGTTGTGGCTAAAATCGATTTGCTAGGGGAGTTTCAGAGTGCCCTTCCAAAGATTAAGAGCCGCCCAGCTTACGCTCAGAAGAAGGGCTCCAAGAAGAAGCCCTTGAAGAAAGATGCCACAGAGAATTCCACCCAAACTCCTTCAGAGAGTAAGGGCTCCAAGAAGCCCACACAGAAGAGTGCTGCACAGAACTCCACCCAAGCTCCTCTGGAGAATAAAGGCTCCAAGAAGAAGAAGAAGAAGTCCTCAAAGAAAAATGCTGCGCAAAGATCCACCGACGCGCGCTCCGAGGATAAGTGCCTTAAAGTCTCCCAAAACTTGCCAGGGAAGATGGTGGCAGTCGACTGTGAAATGGTGGGCACAGGACCCAAGGGGCGTGTTAGTTCCTTGGCCCGGTGCAGCATTGTGAACTACAATGGGGATGTGCTTTATGATGACTACGTCCTCCCCCCCTGCCACATCGTAGACTACCGGACCAGATGGAGCGGCATCCGAAAGTGCCACATGGCTAAAGCTACACCCTTTAAGATTGCTCGGAGTCAGGTGAGGACTTTGAGTGTGTGCTGTTCTGGGGAGGTGTCAAAGGGCTGTGAAGGGAGGGAGAATGATGTCACATGAGAAGAAGGCTGTCTATGCAGTAAGGAATTGTTTTTCTGTTTGCTGCAACAAAATGCCTGACCAAGGGAATTTAACAGATTGCTTTGCCAGTTTGAGGATACTTCCATCATGGTGCAGAAACGGTGGCAGCAAGAGCAGGATGTGGCTGCTGAGGAATCAGGGAGCAGAGAGAAATGAATGCTGGTTCTCTGATTTCCTTATTCAGTCTAGGACTCTGGCTAATGGAATGAATAGGTTATTTTTGCTTTGTTTTGCTTTACTTACTATGGGTCTTCCCACCTCAGTTCACCCAACATAAAAGCTCACAGACACACTCATAAATTTGTCTTCTCGATAATTCTAGGTCCTTTCAAATAGACAGTTCTATCATGAGTCCACCTCTTGTCAATTTGATGCCCAAACATAACGCTTTTTAGTCATAACCTTCTATCTGCGGTCCTCATAAGCTCATAGCTGTCTCATAATACAAAATGGATTTAGTTCAACTTCAAAAGTCTCCATAGTCTGTAACAGTCCAAACACTGTCCAAAAATATAAGGCCAGAGCGTCTCTGAAATATAGGCAGACTCTTAACTGTGAGTCCTGCCACATCAAAAGCAAAGGCAGAGCACACTTTATTCCCAGTACTCAGGAGGCAGAGATAGGTAGTCTCTGTGTGTTCCAGGCCAGCTAGAGTTATAATCTAGCATGAGGCACTTCAGAGCTGGAAGTCAAGGCAGAAACTGAAGCAGAGTCCGTGGAGGAACGCTGCTTACTTCCCCTGGCCTGCTAGCCTGCTTTCTTACAACATCCAGGCACCTGCCTGGGGGTGGCACCACCCACATCAGTCACCGTAAAAAAAAATGCACCACAGACATGCCTACACACCAATCCAGCGGAGACATTTTCTCAAATAAGATTCCCTCTTCCCAGATACATGTCTCAAGATGACATAAAACTAGTTAGCACAACTGACCCCTTGTCAACTTTGACATAAAAACATATCATTGTTAAATAGTAACCTTTTCTTTATTATTGTCCCCAAGATGTCATATTAATAGCAACATCACAATATAAAACATATTCTAAACTTTAGAAGCCCCGTAGTCTTTAAAAATTCCAACTTTAAAAGTTTAATCTCTTTAAAATACCTAAAGTCTCTTTAGAATTCCAAAGTTTCTCTGAGGTCTCATAACTATGGATTCCTGTAAAAATCAAAACCAAGTTTAAATACTTTATTATTTCAAGAGGAAGGAGACATGACACAGTTACAACCAAAGGAGAACAGAGCTGAAATCCAATGGTATGAAGCTGAAGTGTCACATTCTGAAACTCAGGATCTTCCGTGCTCCAGAAGGCTTGTCACAGCACATACAGCTTTTCTCCTAGGCTCGGGCTTTCTCCATCCCAATGCATTCAAGTGTACTTCCCACTTTCTCTTCTATAAGGTTCAGTGTGGCTGGCTTTATGTTGAGGTCTTTGATCCATTTGGACTTGAGTTTTGTGCATGGTGATAGATATAAGTCTATTTTCATTCTTCTACATGTTGATATCCAGTTATGCCAGCACCACTTGTTAAATATGCTTTCTTTTTTCCATTTGATATTTTTTGCTTCCTTGTCAAACATCAGGTGTTTGAAGATGTGTGGATTAATACCCAGGTCTTCTATTCAGTTCCATTGGTCTTCCTGTCTGTTCTTATGCCAATAACAGGCTGTTTTCAGTACATATTGCAAAGTTTCTGCTTCCAGCTCAAAATGTAGTCTAGTTCCCTTAAAGCTGTATGCTTTGATGAGAGCTTAGTTGAAGACTGTAAGTGGATTACTTGTTTGTTTCCTGCCGCCCAGACTGGAGTAATCACACAGAAACTTAATTACAACACTGTTTGGCCAATAGTTTAGGCGTATTTCTAGCTAGCTCTTATATCTTAAATTAACCTGTTTTTATTAATATGTGTATCACTGTGAGACTGTGGCCTACCAGTAAGGTTCCAGCAGTGTCTTTCTCCTTCATCAGCTGCATGGCGTCTCCCTGACTCCGCCTACTCTTTCTCTACATCTCTGTTCGGATATCCTGCCTGGCTTTACTCTGGTAAGCCACTGGCCGAAAAAGCTTTTATTCATCGGCCAATAAAAGCAACACATATACAGAAGGACATTCCACATCACAGAACTCTTTCCTAAGTGCTTGTTTTCTAGCAGCTTTTTCCATTCAAATGAATTGTGTATTTTCACAGTTTGGAGCTTTCTGTGGATGGGGCCTTGCTCTTAACTTTCCCCTATCCTGATGCAAGTATCATATTTTGTAGCCTGTAACTTTAAATGTATGGTCCTTTCCCCTGCTAAACTGTATTTTTTTTTTCATATTTTAATGTCCTGTTTGCTGTCTTTCATGGTAGACCTGGGTAAGAACAGTGAGCAGTCATCTTCACACAGCCTTTGTAGGAAAACCCTCTGCCATACAAAGTAGACCATTGCCTTTTAGTTCAGCCTCACTTCAGTTCTCTGGACTCCTTAGCCAGGCTTCCATGGCTGGCATTTCTTCTGCATTCTCTTCTAGGAGCCCACCAGAACAGTCCATTGAGCTCTGTGTAACATCTAGGGCTCTGTAACCCTCAGTTCCGTACTCCCACTTTCCTCCTCTAAAACCAGCTCAAAGGCCTGAGAATCACTTGGTGAGTGATTAGTTACTGTTCTGTTGCTTTGAAGAGACCGTGACCAAGGCAGCTCATAAAAGAAAGCCTTTAACTGGGAACTTGCTTACAGTTTTAGAGGGTACGTCTATAACCATCATGGCCGGAAGCAGACAGGCATGGTGCTGGAGCAGTAGCTGAGAGCTTTACATCTCGATCCACAGACAGCAGGCAGAGACAGACAGACACTGGGTTTGGCATGAGGCTTTTGAAACCTCAGAGCCTACCCACCCTAATCTTTTCTATGTAGCCCACACCTCCTAATCCTTTCTATATGGCCCACTAACTAGGGACTAAGCACTTAAACTTATGGGCAAATGGTGGCCACCACAGTCAGGTTTATCACAGCAAAGCCACCACCTCATTACCGTTCTTCCGTCTTAGGTACTTATCGCTGTGACAAAACAGTTTGAGGAAGAAAGGGTTTATTTGGGGTAAGTGTGAAGGTTTACTACATCATGGCATGGAGTGTGAGGTAGCTGGTTACTACCATTTAGGGTGGATCTTCTACCTCAGTTAACTAGTCTAGAACCTCCCTCCCTCACAGTTATGGCCAGAAGTTTGTCTCTGTGATTCTAGATCTTGTCAGATTGACAAGATTAACCCCGTAGGAATGCTAAAGACAGTTAGCCATAACTAGGTGGTGAAGGTAATTTTACTAGTTGAGATCCACTTAGTGTGTGGTGGAGTTGCCCTCAAGAATTAACAGCCAGCCGGGGATAGAAGTGGGCTGAACAGCAGGTGTGAAAGTCGCTTAGGGCAAGTGCTGAGTGTTGGAGCAGGAGACAGAACTTTTACAAAAACAAAATAAAAATGGCATGAAGAGATGGCTCAGCAATAAAGAGCACTTGCTGTTCTTAAAGAGGACCTGGTGGGTTCCATTCCAAGTACCTATGTGACGATTCTTCAACTGTAACTCCAGTTCCAGGGATGTTCTTCTGGTCTCTGGGCATCAAGCATACATGTGGTTGGTATACATACATATAAAATAAAAACAATTTGTTTTAAAGCTGTATTGGTTGGGGGGTATCCAGGTAGCCTGTAGTAAAAGGCATAAAAGATACATGATTGTAAGGGGTTCTCATCCCTCCCTTAGCAAACCTACTTGTTCTAGGCTCAAGCTAGAGAGCACAACTAATAAACTGGAGTAGAGGGCAGGGTGAGAGAAATGAAGGGGGGAAATTGAAAAGAGCCTGCTGGTATTGGGAGGCCACCAGAGGGCACCCTTGATCTGCTTTGCAATTTGAGGTCTGTCTGCCTCCCAAGTGCTGGGATTAAAGGCATACACTGCCACCACCACCTGGCGGTCTTGAAGGTTTTAAATGCTGAGACATTAGTTGGTTTCAATACGAGTATGCAGAAAACCTCATCTTCAACTTTACTTTTAAGTTTTTTTTTTTTTCTCATTTATTCGGTGAAGATAGTGGTGTGTCATGGCGTATGTGAGGAGGAGTTGGTTCTTACCTCCCATGTAGGTCTCAGGGATCAAACTCAGATCATCAAGCTTGATGACAAGACCCTTTACCTTCTGAGTCGTTTCACTGTCATCATCGTCCCCACATGAGGCAGGGTGTCATCCCAGGCCAACCTCAGAATTGCTATGGAGCCAAGGACGACCTTTAACTTTGGTTCTTCCTACCTCACCTTCCAAGTGTGGGGATTACAGGCCTTTGCCAGCATGCCCAATTATTGTAGTGCTGGGTTCCAACCCAGGTTTTGTGTATGCTGGGCAAGCACTGTGAGCCAAGCCCCTAGATCCAGCACTGTTTGTTAAGACAGGGTCTCATGTGGCTCAGTCTCTGCTGTGCCTTACAGTTCACCTGCCTCAGCTTTCTGTGTGTTGGGATTGTAGGTTTATACAACCTTGCCTAGTAACTAATTTTTTGGTAAAGATTTATTTTTAATTATGTGTATATGCATTTTTATATGTGAGTACAGTGCCTGCAGAGACCAGAAGAGGGTGTCAAATCCTCTGAAACTGGGAACTTAGGCATTGATGAGTCACCCTACAAGGAAGGGTACCAGGAGCCTGGACCAGTGCATACTCTTAACTGCTGAGTCATCTCTTCAGCCCCATGAGCAGCATCTTTAATGTCTGTGCTATCCAAGACTGAAGGAAGCAACTGGGGTAGAGGCCAGTGTTAGAACATTTGCCTGGCTATACAAGGCCTCAGGTTCTGGAGGCGGGGGAGAATAATGAAGACCACAGTTGGGGTGGAAATTAATAAACATGAGGAGGCTATGGTGATGTAGTTCCAAATGGGATTCCACATAGCAGTTCTGTAGGGAAAGGAGGAGGGTTTCTGAAAGAGGAACACTTGTGGAAGAGGGCCTTTCAAAAGGGTAGGGTGGGATGCTGATGATGGCCTTGTGTAAGGAGCTCCACCTTGAACATCCCTCATCTTCTGCGTGCTCATTCCAGATCCTGAAGATACTCAAGGGGAAGATAGTGATCGGACATGCCATCCACAATGACTACAAAGCCCTACAGTACTTTCATCCCAAGTCCCTCACCCGAGACACTTCCCAAATACCACTCCTCAACCGGAAGGCTGACTGCCCAGAGAATGTCACTTTGTCATTGAAGCACCTCACCAAGAAACTGCTGCATCGGGACATCCAGGTAACTTCTCTCCAAGTGCGCCCAGCACACACAGTTCAGGTCCCAGTAGTCTCTGTCAATGAGGAGAAATAATAATTTCTGTGTACCTCGTAGACTACCAGATGGTACAGTGAGATCAGAAGACTGTTCAAGCTACATGCTTGGCAGTCAAGGACAGTGGCCAGAATACAGAGTTGTGGGTACATGTCACATGGAGAGTATCTAAGAAACAAGACTCAGAAGGCCTATCTGTGACCTGGAATGTCCTGCCTTTGCAGAATGTGATACATATACATTGCTACAGGAATGAGTGGATTAGCCAGGCAGTGGTGGCACACCTTTAATCCCAGCACTTGGGAGGCAGAGGCAGACTGATCTCTGTGAGTTTGAGGCCATCCTGGTCTACAGAGCAAGTTTCTTGTCTTGAGAGAGAGAGGGGGGGGGGGGGAGAGTGAGTGTTGACTGGGAAAAGAAAAAGTAGTTCTTATTTTCTTCATATTCTTTTCCTTTTTAGGCTGGAAAAAGTGGACATTCCTCAGTGGAAGATGCCCAGGCCACCATGGAGCTGTACAAGTTGGTTGAAGTTGAATGGGAACAGCACCTGGCCCAGAATCCTCCAGAAAATTAGCAATCCCGGGGAGACACACGCAGTAGCCCAAACCACAGTTCTGCCAGCTGCACATCTGCAGAAGTTAGAATTGTTGAAGAGAGGGACTTCACCAGAGACTTAATACCCATTGAAATTTCATCTCCACTGCTGTGGTCACTGTGTGGTTAAGTGCCTGATGGAAGGGGAAACCCACCTTCCATCCAGTCGGGTGGCACAGGCCTGTCATCTCAGATACTGGGAGGTTGAGACAGGTTTTAAATTTAAGGTCAGCCTGGGCTACAGAATTAGTTCAAGATGTCCTGACATAAAAAAGAGGGTCAGGAGTAAAGCTTGGTGCTAGAGCGTGTACCTAGCATACACAAGCCCCTGGATTCAGTATCCACAGGGGAGTAGGAGAGGGTGGGAAGGATGGAATACGACATGATGTGTTACAGATGGCTTACTTTTTTAATAGTGCTAACCAAATGTCCCAGAGTGCTTGTGCCGATCAGCTTTCTTGACTTTGAGGAAGCAAGGCACACCATAGAGTACAGATTCTCACATTATTTTATCCATGGGACACATAACATAGATGTGTCTCCCTTTGGTGGGGAGCGGACTAAAGGGGTTCTTGTATTGCCAAGGTTGGCCTCAGTGTGCTCAAAGGACTTCTTCCTCAGCCCCTGAGTAACTGGGACATGAGTGTTCACCTCTGTGCCTGGGTCTTTGAATTTTATGTTTTTTGTTATAAGGTAATTAATAGTATCCTTTCACTTCAGAAGTGTCCTATGGAGGTAGGCATGGTGGGCTGTGATCCCAGGACTCTGGAAGCCAAGGCAGGAAGATCAAAAGTTCAAGGCCAGTCTGAATACATAGAAAAGCTCTGGCTCATAGAAGTAGAGAAGAGAAGAAATGGATTGTGTGGCTGGATGCTAAATTGTATAGCCACGTTTACTTGATTTAGGTTCTGTTTAGTTAACAAAGAATTTACATTGTTTTAATAGTCTTTCAATCTTTCACCTTGCAAATGGAATCTTTTAAAAATTCAAATGATTCTTTTTATGAATTTTTATAATAGAAAACTAGTGGGATTTTTCATAAAGATTATTTTTATTTTATTCATGTTTATGTGTAGCAGACTTTCTTGGACCACCAACCAGCTCCAAAAATCAATACACAGAGACTTACTAAGTTATGAATGGTTGGTCTTAGATTTTGCTTGTCTCAGTAGAGCTCTTACAACTTAATTTAACCTGTTTGTCTGTTTTGTCTTGGAACTTTTTACCTTTCTTTCATTCTATATGCCCTACTGTCCTGCTTCCTTCATGTCTGTCTGCCTGGCTGGCCCCAGGCGTCACCTTCTCTTTCTCCCTCCTTCTCTCTTTTTCTCTCTGCCCACCAGCCTGCCGCCTATCCCTACTCTGCCTAGCTATTGACCATTCAGCTTTTTATTAGATCAGTCAGGTGCCTTGGGCAGGAAAGGTAAAACAGCAACACATCTTTCATAGTTAAACAATTATTCTGCAACATTAACAAATGTTAAATAATTTTAACACATCTTTACTCTTTTTTTTCTCAGTTTGTGGCATAAGTCACCTCCCATTGTTTTGTTTTGTTTTTAAAAAATTTATTCCACAACACATATGTATGGCCTTTAAGGGTTCAGGAGAGGGTGTCAGAGCCTCTAGAACTGAAGTTCTAGATATTGTGAGTTTCTGGAAAATGGGTACTGGAAATCAAGCTGGAATCCTCTGAAAAGAGCCATTTCTCCAGCTCTTTTTGTCTTCATATTAAATAACTTCACAAGGTGTAGAGGGTTATATAGTTGTATAAGAGGATTTCTAGGGTCACTGGAGACCTTGTTTGTTGGGTTGTCTGAAGCTCTGGTAAGCCTTTGTGACACAGACAGTGCCTTGTGTTTGCTACCAATCCAGCAGTCACACCTGAAGTGACAGCCTAAGCCAGGCAGGCACCCTCATGGAGAGGGTGTGTGACCAGAGTGAGATAGAATGAATCTGGGGGCATAAAGGAGGACAGTGGGGGAGGAAGGGTGCTTGGTGATGCCAGCCAGGCAGCTGCTGCCAGCTCTTCCGTAGTGGTGCACACCTCATCTCTAAAGGTGAGTCATGTGTCTGTGCAGCCTTCTGTCCCTAGTCTTCAGAGCCGTCTCTCCATATCTTTTGGTTCTTCGAGACAGGGTTTCTCTAGCTTTGGAGCCTGTCCTGGAACTAGCTCTTGTAGACCAGGCTGACCTCAAACTCAGAGATCAGCTTGCCTCTGCCTCCGAGTGCTAGGATTAAAGGCGTGTACCACAACCGCCCTGTATCTCTCCTATCTTCATGGTTTTATTTTGCCATTTATTTGTGGCAATGAAGTTACTTTGATTCTTGGTGTTTTAATGGTTTTTGTCCCACATCCTGAGTTCTACTCTTGACTTTTAAGGGGTGGTGTTTGTAGTTACAGTACAACCACACCGCAATATGCACTATACTGAGCCCTTAAGGTACACTGTGTCACTGGAAGCTGGGTGTTTGCTTACATGTATGTTTGTGCACTGCTTATGTGCCTGGTGAGCTCATAAACTATAAAAGAAAATATGGGGTGGCTGACAGGTGCAGGAGGCCGTTAGAGTGTATCAGCTCCCCTGGAACCAGGTTTACAGATAGTTGAGAGTTGTCATGTGGGTGCTGGGACTCAAACCCTGGTTCTCTGCAAGAGCAGCCAGGGTTAACTGCTCCGCCATCGCAACAGTCTCAACGGTTGAGACTGAGGTTAACCAAGAAGGTAAGAAATTTCCCTAGGCTTGGCTCCAGATTTGCTGAGTATGCCTGAAGGCCCTGCCCTTGTGGTAGCATCTGAGTGGTATCTGACAGGACATCCTTGGCTGGGGTCTGTTCCGTACCAGGCAGTGTGTTAGACACTGGAAATGGTTTTGTCTTTGGCTAAGAAGAGCCAGGAATCCTCAGTGTACCATGCTGGTTAGTAATGTGAACAGATCTGGGTTTCTGGAAGACTATGCTGGCTGCTGTGTGGAAGCTGGATTGTGGAAAGGCCAAGAGGTGAGTATCTGAAGAGGGAGGAGCCTGTGAGTACTATAATAAGTGACAACAGGGCCAGGCCATTGGGCTTATTAGAGACATTGTCATCCCATGCCCTTTTTAGGTACACAGAATCCAAGGACTTCCACAGAGGGTCCATAAGCACATTGGTGAGACACATGCCGTACATGCATTGGGACCTGAGCTTGGATCTCTGGCACCAATGAAAAGATAGCTTTGGCAGCATATGCCTGTGGTTAGTGTTGGCAGAGACAGTACAATCAGCCTGCCTCACTGAATCAGTGAGAGCCAGTTTCAGTGTGAGATCCTGTCTCAAAAATAAGGTAAAGCTGGGTGTGGTAGCACATGTTCAGGAAGCAGAGCAGGCAGATCTCTTGAGTTCGAGGCCAGTCTGATCTACACAGTTAGTTCAGGACAGGGCTATGTAGAGACAGACCCTTGTCTCAAAAACAGAAATACCCATGATTGACCTGTGGCTCCCAAACATGGACAGGCATATACACCATGAACATGTACACGCACACACACAAGTGCATAGAAGTTCAGTGTCGAAGCCCCACATACCCTTCAGCACACCAGAATGATGCTGTAGTGTTGTGAAGATAAGTCACTCTGGTTTAATAAAAAGCTAGGCAGGATTCCTGGGCATGGAGGATGCTGAGAAGAAAGGGAGACACTGAGGACACAGAGAAAGAAGCATAGGCAATGTTGGGATGAGGAATCCTAGTATTTGGGAGGCAGAGGCAGGTGAATCTCTGTGAGTTCGAGACCAGCCTGGCCTACAAGAGCTAGTTCCAAGACAGGCACCAAAGCTACACGGAGAAACCCAGTCCCAGAAAACAAAACAAACAAAACTTGTTAGAAAAACAAGCGTAAGCTGGGCGATGGTGGCACATGCCTTTAATCCCAGCACTCGGCTCCGGCTCCAAAGCCACAGCAAAACCCTGCCTCGAAAAACCAAAAAAAAAAAAAAAGAAAGAAAGAAAGAAAGAAACAAGTGTAAGCTATCAGTTAAGCTTTCATAATTAGTGAAAGTCATTATTGGGGAGCCAACAAATAGTCTGACTATACTTTAGGGTAGACAGATCCATGACATTTTCTGAAAGACTTGTGTACACTGTCTACCCTAGAGTAAGAGCTCTCAGAATAGGACCCAACCCTTCTGAGTAGCAAGCAGCACAGTGCACCTGGGCCAGAGTGTCTAGTTCCCCAAAGGCATGCTTTACTTGTGCACCATGTGGATCCCTGCTGTCTGACCTCACAGTGAATGTGCTTTAAACTACCAGCAGCAAGGCTGCTCAGGCCATAGCCTGAGGAGTACTGTTCCCTCACAGTGGTTCAGTTGCTGCTACTAAAGGTAGGCCTTTACCTTCTATATTAACTAAAGAAAACTATATCTAGTCTCTAGTCTTCAACTCCATCAGAGACCTGAGTCAGATATAATATTACCTGAGTAAACAGGAAGTGCAGAGCAAGCAACTTCCAAAACTGTAGAAATGACAAAGACATCTAGCTGCCTGGATAGTTACCCAAGATTCCTCTGCAACATTGGGGCATCCATCTTTGGCCTACAGGCTTAGAATATCTGTCAGACTTTATGAAGCAGGAATTTTGAAGGACTATCCCATCTTGTCTTGGCAAAATTCAGTGGTCTTTTTCCTCTGTGTCGTACATGTCTGAAAATGTAGTTGCAGGGGATCCGACACCTTCACACCAATGCACATTAAATAAACCATAAAAAAATTTTAAAAAAGACGAGCAGCTTCTTGCTCAGATGGCTAGCTTTGCCACAATGCAAGCAAGCTCCCTATGGAGGTTCTTTGATCTCCATCCATCATCCTTTTATGAAATAAGTTGGTGCCAGGAACAGACATGTCTCACTGTTATGAAAAGCCTTAGATTATCAAACATCTAAAAGGCCATATTCTATAGGTCTCTGAAGTGTTTAAAGATCAATCTAAAATATATCTGTTTAACCTTGAAAACATAACATGACTACAAGCTTGATTATTATAGATGACTACTAACCTACATTCAATTGTACATTCCTTTTTTTTTTTTTTTTTTTTTTTTTTTTTTTTTTTTTTTTTTTTTTTTTGGTTTTTCGAGACAGGGCTTCTCTGTGGTTTTGGAGCCTGTCCTGGAACACTAGCTCTTGGTAGACCAGGCTGGTCTCAGAGATCCGCCTGCCTCTGCCTCTGAGCGCTGGGATTAAAGGCGTGCGCCACCACCCAGCTTGCACATTCCATTTTTAAGTGAGCTTCAAAAGCACAATACCATAAACAAAAGAAACATACAACATAACAAAAAGAACTTTATATATCAATATATCAAAATCCATACCAATATAAATATTTGAGGTTAATAGTTGTCTTTTTATCTTGTATTCCTATATCCCCCTAAATAATGATAAATATCTATAACCCATTAAATGATAAAAAACCACCCACCCCATGTCTTGGGAATGTGGGCCTTGTGTTCTCTAGACTGCTTTTTGTTTTCTGAGGGCTATACCATCTCCAGGAGACCCTGAGAAAATTGAGACAATGGTGAAGTCCTGGGAAAACTAGTTGTAACATTGTCAGTCTCAGAATCGTTCCCATGCAGAGGGAACAATGTATATGCCACCTGTCTTGTAGTTCTTGCTTTATTTCTTATGTCTGCAGCCAAGACTTAGGAGGTCTCTCCGATCAAACTGATCTCTGTTAATCTTGAAGGACTCCACGGCCTTTCATTTCCTGTGCAAACAAAAACCACCTCTCCCCCAGTGCAATACATTTTCTGAATTCCATTTTGCATATTATGAAATGACTGCTTCCTTAAATCTTTTCAAATCTAGCATTTCTACAGGATTCCAATTAACTTCTACACAGCCTTGAGGGTTCCTATCATCTGGTGGTGGTTCTTGTACAATATATCCAGTTATATTCAGGTTGGTATTCTAATACCCTAGGCCACTCCTCTTCAATCTCATAATGTAATATTGTGGTATGTTCTACTCTAAATTCCTGTCTGTGTGAATATTTTTATTTTTTTCATTAGTAGGTCTTTCTAAGGCTTGTATCTTATCAATCAAATTATGTTTGACAGTCATCAAACCACTTTTTTAAGGAGAAAATATTAATGACCAAACTGATAGTAACCTAAGCCAGGTCACTTATTCTCTCTTTTCATGGTAGCGTACACAGGGTGCTGTCACCTTGCATTGTGATGGTCGTCATTCTTAATGTGGGAAGGGTCTCCTAAAGGATTTCCCAGGTATCTCACCAAATCTGCTAACTTCTCCAGGAGTCCTGGCAAGTGGCATCCGCCCGCTGCAACAGTTTGTGTGGATCTGCTGTTTTACCTTTGTCTCAGTGGCTGCACTTTAAACTGCTAGTGGACTGGCTCTAAGGCCATTATAGCCTGGGGTTTTCTGTTCCCCAGACAGTGGCTCTGTAGCTTTAACGAAATCTCTATTATTCTAACAAGACTCAAAGGCTAGGGTGAAAACTTGCTAGCTCAAAGAGTTAAAGTAGCCCGGCAGTGGTGCACGCCTTTAATACCAGCACTCAGGAGGCAGAGACAGGCAGATCTCAGTGAGTTCGAGGCCAGCCTGGTCTACAAAGAAACCCTGTCTGGGGGGGGGAAGCCTCTCCTTCCACACTGCCCCAACTAAAACACCCACCTAAGCTCCTCCCTCCTATTTACTGCCCCGCATCTCTGAGCTCAGTTAATTTTACTAGCTCAAACGCAACACATCTTTACATAGATAAACAAAT